CTTTAAGCACAGCCTTCGGCTAGCCTGAGACAGCATCTCCACGCTCTAAGTCCTCCTCTGATGCCCTGCCGGCACTGCTTCCGGCCATCCTTAACCCCGATCCAGGGTCCACTTAATGTGGACGCGCTAGTTCGAATTAGCAAAACGCTAATTCGAACTAGTTTTTAGTTCTAGATGCGTTAGTTCGAATTAGCTTAGTTCGAATTAACTAATTTGAACTAAGTTAGTTTGAATTAGCGCTGTAGTGTAGACGTACCCTCAGTTATTAAATGCTGTCTCAAGCAGCAACAGTGTCAGAGGGGTAGCCGTGTTAGTCTGTAACTGGAAAAACTTCAAAAAAACGACAAATAGTCTTGCAGTGCCTAAGTCTCTGAAGTGCTGTGATACTATTTGTTGTTTTTTAAGAGTTGTTTTTTTCAAGTAGCAATGACATCCTTAAATGGCTGTTTCTGCAGACGGGACATGAAAGCTTTCGGAGTTAAGGTTTCTTGCATTGAACCTGGGCTGTTCAAAACTGGATTATCCAATCGAAAAAAGATCATCCAAGAAAGGGAGACCATTTGGAAACAACTTCCTCCAGCCATAAGAAAACAATATGGAGAGGGGTATATACAGAAAGGTAAGACATTGCCTGATTATTTTGTATTGAAGGGATCAGGGCATGTGCAGTTTCAAGGTCTCTAGAAAATGGCCCAGACTTTTCTGATTTACAGGGCACATCTTTCTTCTGGCATGTCATGTATCAATGTAAGCTTACAATGCTAGATATCATAGAATATGACTATGCACAAAATAACCATTATTTGGTTCCCCCTGCCTGTACTTCCTTATGCTTTCATCTGAGTTTTGAATGTTGCGTGGCATGTGACCCTTAAACAAACAAGCCTGCAAATATGCACACGTTTGACCCAAAGATGTAAGCCAAAACCAATGAGAGGGGGAGGGGTGTTTCTCCCACTGCTACCAGTTTGGGGTAATTTAAATGGCATTCTGGCAATAGGCTCTGCATGGACAGTTCACTGCATCTGCACAAAGCTCACTGCAGGACCAGCTCTTCTGACAGATTATGGCTGAATATAGCTCAAAATGGGATCTGCTCATCCAATGACCTTTGCAACTTCCCTACAACTTCCTCCCCCAGTTCCTTTCTCTATAGTTGCCTTTTGTATCTTTTCCCACATGTGACTCCTCTGTAGTCAGTGAAGCTGTGCCTATTTACATGACCACTGCACCTGGCACCAGGAACGTCTATCTCCCCTTCAGTTCTACTCCTGTATCTTCTGTCTTCTGAGGAAATGATTAATTGATTTTCCTCAGACAGCATGAGCTAGATTCTGCGCCCTTTACTCAAGTTAAGTCGTGGCTTACGCTACAGATGAAATCAATAGGATTATCCAGAGAGCAAATGACAGCTCAGCTTGAGTAAAGATGGCCCAACTCGGCCTGTAAGGTGGACCGATTTTCCCCCTTGTCCTGGGGAAAACAGAAAATGCCATTTGGCTCGGCCATGACAGAACTGAAAACTGAAGTAACCATCACAAATGCATTTTGAGGAAATAGGATAGAAGTAGTTTTCCTTTCTAGGGCCTATCACTCAAATGAAGCCTTTGATTTTTTTTTTTTTTTTTTTTTTTTTGTGCAGATGCTGCAAAGAAAGAAAAGCTGACTCAGATATTTCAGAACACAGACCTCTCGCTGGCTGTGAAATGCATGGAGCATGCTCTAACGAGCATTCATCCTCACTCACGTTACACTGCTGGCTGGGATGCCAAGGTTCTTTGGATCCCCCTTTCAAACATGCCCACAGCAATACAGGACTTTATACTCCTGAGAAACAAAACAGAGCTTGCTGACCCAACTGCAGGGTGAATTCTCCTGTTGTATTTATACTTTCCCATTCAAATGGGGATGGCCCAGCTGGCTGAGTCAACAAGAACCAGCCCTTTATTTTAGCTCTGTCCCTGCTGATCCAACTGAGCCTGACACCAAGTTTTTGATATTTCTAACAGCTTTTAGAGTTCCTAGCGCTCAAAACTGCGATACAGATTATAGCTGAATTTGCAATCTTATGTAAAAGCCAGGCCACATTTATTAAAGAATCAAAGAAAAATAGAAATGTTGCAAAGAAGTGACTGATCCTGAATTTATCATCTAGCTTTAGGCGCATAAAGTGTTATGAATAATACCAAAACCACCGACTAAAAACAGTATTTCCTGTAGGATTTTTCTTTATTCTGGAAAGTAGGAACTAGAGAGTTAAAAAATGAGCAGTAATGGGGGAGGGAGGATGGCTCAATTTTTGGATGCTCACCTTATGAAATCTTAAAGATGCCACATTTGCAGTCAATGCTGAGCACCTCATTCAACTTCAGCCCTGTAACTTTTGAAAAATGTAGGCCTTTTGAAAAATGATTGCCTTACTTCCAAGCCAAGAGACAACAACCTTGGTTTTGCAAAGTGCTGAGGGAGTGACTCCTTCAAGGGGGCTTTAACTTGTGTTATAGTACCTGGGAAATGAGGGTACATAGTACATGACAGGAGGAGCTCCTCAGTATTTTGCGTGATTGAGCTCCATTGGAATTAGGCACAAAACTTACCTAAACTCAACTGTTGAATGGTTTGCCCAGGAAGTGGTTTCTCACTGGATGGAAAACTGACCAATGTCAAAACCAAGCACTGGTGAGTTTGTTGTGACATGACTTGGCTAAACATTAAGCCATCCAGTGCCTGTCTAAACATTGCTGGTTTTCAGTTAAACATCTCTGGAGCTCGCAAGGTCTCACTCTGCTTTTTGGCTGACACTTGTATTTAGTTGTCGGTGTGGGAGTTAATTCTTATTTTGCATGAACAGAATTGCATGTGGGTTATTTCCTATAAGACCAGGTTTGAGGTGTGCTGTACATATGCCTGTGGATTCGCTATTCTTTCTGCAGTATTAATAAATAGTTCATTAAAATATTTGTCTCCTGAAGGCAATGGGACAGAGTGGCGGAAAAGCAAACAATTTTGATTTAAATCATAAGTCAGAGAGCTGCAGGATGAGCATCGACAGGCTGCCACCCAATAATCTTAGTTTAGGACTGGAGGAGCAGCTAGTTTTTGAAGCTCGAGATCAATCAATCCTTAAGTTAAGCTCATTTTTGGCCTCTGCAGAACTGAGAGCACAAGACTGTGTTTACGTGTCTCTTGTACACATCTGAATGGAGACCTTAAGATTCATATCACCTAGGAGACTTGAATTCTATTTCCAGACATTATAGGAAAGCATTTTATTTACTGAAGGAGGCCTACATTACCACTTAGGTCAATATAACTTACATCACTGAGGGGTGTGAAAAAGCCATCCTCTGAATGATGCAAGTTACAGCAATTAAGTGCTGTCCACACCAGTGCTATGTCAGCAGGAGGAACTCCTCAGCAGTGTTCCCTGTAAGCTGAGTGCTTGGGTGGCTACTCAGGCCAGATTCAAATTTCACTTGGCTGATTAGCAGAGCACCCATAGCGCCCACAGCTAGCACCATGTGTTTCTACTGATGGTGCACATCCACAAATGCCTGGATGCATATAGCAACATTTATTACACACATGGATGGAAAAAATTAAAGGGAACACTATTCCATGAAGGTGGAGTAATTATGCCCACTAATCAAGGATTAAAGCTCTGTTTGACATAAATGAGGGCATCAGTCTAGCTCGTGTGTTTTCTTGTATCTGAACGCCATATATTTTCATCATTCCATTTCCCCACCTTCAATCTATTTAGGACTCAGCCTTATTTTCCAGAAAGTCTGTCTCCTCCCATGTAGGTAACTCACCAAGAATCTGAAACATGTTAAAATGAGCCTCCCTTTGAAATTATATAGAAACTGCCTCTCCCAGTGGCTGTGAATTACAGCTGCAGAACATTTGCCTCAGACACAACTAAATATATTTCCTTTTGTCATGGACCAAATTCAGAAATGTGATTCCACACAGATACTCTTCAAATAGTTACAGCACAGAAAGAGCCACACGTCAATATCGCAATAAAACACCTATGTCAGCTGCCTCTGGCTTGTGCACCTTGGGCTGCAAGGCTATAAAGTTGCAAGGTAGATGGCTGGGATCAGCTTGGATCCTGGGCTCTGGGACCTGAGGCCTCCATCCTGACCACAGACAACAACACTTCACTTTAATAGCCCAGCAGCCCAGGTCCCATCAGCTCACATGGGCCAGACACAGGTGGGATACATCTACACTGGCAGGTTCTTGCACCAGAACAGCTGTTCTTGCGCAAAAACTTGCCTGGTGTCTACACTGCATGCACATTCTTGCGCAAGTAAATTTACAGTACAGCGTCGGAAAACAGTGAGTTATAAGATCAAGAACACATATTCCTGCGCATCCAGAAATATAATTTATGCTATCATGTGCCGAAAGTGTCCGTCTGCTATGTACATTGGACAAACGTCTCAGACATTTCGCCAAAGGATCAATGCCCACAAAACAGATATTAGACAGGATCACAAAGAAAAAACAGTTTCTTGCCATTTCAACCAGAAAGGACATTGTCTGAATGACTTAATTACCTGCATCCTGCTTCAAAAGCCTTTTAAGACTGCACTTGAAAGAGAATCCTCTGAACTGTTATTCATGCTTAAATTCAACACTTTACACCTGAGTCTGAATAAACATTCTAATTATCTTACCCATTACAAAGATAGCTTCCCCAATTATCACCTCTAATATCATTAGCTCACATTTACCTTCCCTCCCTCCCATCCCCCTTCTGTTCTGAAATTTGATTTGTCTTTTTCATATGTGTTCATTTTTTTAAATTGTATCCTTTGGTATATATGGTTGTGACAAATTTCTTACACTATTTGATCTGAGGAAGTGGGTCTGGCCCACGAAAGCTCATCACCTAATAAACCATCTTGTTAGTCTTTAAAGTGCTACATAGTCCTGTATTTTGTTTCTGCTACACCAGACTAACACGGCTACATTTCTATCACTGGAAAACAGGACTTCTGGAAGAGTTATTCCTCTCCCCATGAGGAATAAGACCTCTCATGCTAAAATGGCCATCAGAGCTTTCTTGCGCAAGAGAGCGTCCACACTGCAGTAGCTCTTGCACAAAAGCACATCTCTTGCGCAAAAGCACGTGCCAGTGTAGACGTGTTCTTGTGGAAGACTTTTTGCATAAGAACTCTTCCGCAAAACAGTTCTTGTGCAAGAAGCTGCTAGTGTAGACGTAGCCATGTTGTTTTGCTATGTAGACCTACCCTGTGCTCTTGTAACCTCTCTGACCTTTCAAAGCAGAAAGCTTGGTGACATTGGCCAGTCCGCAGAGAGTGGATCCGTTCTGCCTCCCTGATCATAAAATGCACAGCCATGAATGGTCTGTTAGTCACTCAGCAGATGAAAATGGGAATGAGAAATATTAACCTTGATCAGTAACAAGATGGAGCTGTGTCAACCAGAGTACTGGAAATCTGCAGGGTAACTCCGTCTCCTCTTTGAGACTTTTGGGTGGCCTCTGTGATTTAATCTTCTGCTGGTTTTCATCCTAGGAAGCTGCTGATACTCATTCTGTAATCAAGTTTAACTAGTACTTCTTAGACTCACATTTTGGTTGGGACTAATCTTTCACTAGCTAGGAGAAATTCTGGACTCAATAACAGCAGCAAAGGGATAGGCTGTGCCCAGCCTTGCAGAAGTTTGACATAGATCCTTCAAAGAGTGTATGCAGGGTGCTCTGCTAGCAGGTCTGCTGGTGCGTCCTACCCTAAAGGGAGCAGGAAGGTGCAATGTGAAAGTGAGACCACAGTCTTCTTCAACATTAACTTCCATGCCCATGTTGAAAATGTACCATTCATTCCTCTTTTCCCTTTTCCCTGTTGACCAGCAGCTATCCCACGATATACCTTCACCTCTCACACAGCAACTATTCTCTGGAATTTCCTAGTAGCCTCTCATGAGGGACTTCAACAAAGTCATTTTGAGACTCAATCAATTGTATTGACCAGTTTCCTTTAGTCACTGTGGAGCTGATTCTGCCAAAGAATTCTAGTAGACTAGAATGAGCATTTTCCTTCCCATAGCATATCAGACTGCAATTATTTTTTAGCTTATTAACCTGACACTAAAGTACAAATCACTCTTCTGTTACTGGCACACTGACTGCTTTTCGGTCATCTGATGTAGTGCTGATGAAGGTACTTTGATAATATTTTGCTCTCCTATAGCATCTTTCACTCTATAGCTCTCAAAGTGTTTTATAAGCGTAGGTTAATTAAGCCCCATATACTCTCTGATGCAAGTAAGTCTTTAAATGTCCACCTTACAGATCAGAAACTAGAGGCACAGAGAGGACGTGACTTGTCCAGGGTCATAAAGCAAACAAAGATAGCTCAAGGGTCCTGCTTCTCCCTTCCCTAACCCAGCCAATATACCACATGCCCTGTGTGATACACATATGTTAAAAATGTTCACCTCTCTCGCATGAATACTGTTGGATTCTTTTTTGCACCTGGGGATTTATACCTCTCATATCCTTTCCCAATGCCAGCCTTCGAGCTCTGTCATTCTAACTTACCTTCCTCAGACCTAGCGATTCAATGAGGAAAGGAACCCATGGAAGTGATGAGATACAACTGCTTTCAGCAATGGTGTTCTGTAGGTGACAAGCCCTCTTGAGCCAGGCTTTACACTCTTGCCACAGCCTGAGCTGGCATTGTACCTAAATAATTTCTCTTGTGTTCTCTCATATTGTATGTTCCAGGGGTGAAAGGGAAACTGACAAATTAATTACCGCATCACACATGAAAACGCAACCGGTATGGAAGAGCCCCAGTCACTGCTTTGGACATGCTAAGTAGGATCTTTAAACCCCTCCACAAAGATGTCACACTGTTCAGCGTCCAGGCTCCTCAGCATAAATAATCAGTACTAAGCAAACCTGACAGCAAGGAGACCTAGAGGAATGCGCCTCCAGGAATGACTGGGGACTTGTGGTGCTATGGGGGTCATTTTTACTATGTGTTGAATTATATGCTATGCAGGTTGACAAGTTTAGATCAGGTCATATGTGACAGACATTTTGAATCTTTGGCCAGGTCCGTCCTGCCAGGCACGTATGGGGGAGCCATATACCAGTACCTTTATAGACAGAGAGAGAGAGGCGGAGTTAGAAAGAGGAAGCAGGAGAGAGAGACTATCAGACAGAGAAGAAGAAGAGGTACAACTAGAAGTAGGAATGAAAAAAGGAAGCACGTCAACAAGGGTTGTCCCACAAAACAAATGCAAACATCCCCTTTCCATCTACGCCTACAACAAAAATCAATAAAATAGCCACTCGTCTTGGGAAGGGCTCAGCAGTGTAAGGGCTGCACAAACTAGCTCTTAATTATTTTAAATACAATTTTAAATTCAATGAAATTCAGTGTAATTCACTGAATCCACCCTCACACCACAATGCTGAATACAAATTCAGGATATAAAATAAACAAATAAAGCATTGAACCATGTCTCCAGGGAAAGTCACAAATCCATAGTGCCATGGATGGTACAGTTTGAACCAGGCGTTCTAATTTAGCTAAAGACACATATATGTTTCTATAGCCAGAGAGCTCCCCATTGTCTATATACCATAGCAGCCACAGCAGCAAGCATTTTTCTTTCCAGTTTAAATTTTCACTCAGTTTGGTTCAGATCACCTTTCACAAGCAGTTTCTGCATTCGTTTCAAAATCCAGAATTGTCCAGCCCATCCTGCTGGGGCAGTTCTGCCTATATGAGGGTGGAAGAGATGTAAGCCTGAGGATTACAGAGTGAAGGACAACAAGATACTGGGAGAATCTCCAAAATGTAACACACCGGGTTGGTGGCACCTGAGGGGGAGGGAGAAGAAATGAAAGCGAGGGGACTTTGGGCCAGCTGATAGAGGTTTGTTGGCCATCATACATCTGTATTCTTTTCCTACATGGGGATTTTCGCTTTCAGGAACTCTAAACTTTTTTTTTTAAGTTGCAGTCAACTTCTTAGATACATAATTTATTCTAAGGATCAGAAATCAACAATGGAGAAAAGAAATTGGCCCTAACCATGATCAAACACAAAGAATTATATGCTAATGTTTGTTTCCCTCACTTTTTGTGCCTACAATTCCAATTGATGCAAACAGACATCTGCATGTGTATAGAGCAAAAAAACAAGATTAGTTCCCAGAGGGCTAACGTCTGTTATAGTCAATGGAGGAACTCCCATTGATTGCAGTAGGAGTTGGATCAGGCCTCTAATGGGATCAGTTCTCTCTCCCTAATGAGTCTTGACAAGCTCCGTGCTTTGGGAATTACTGTATTTAGGCCAGTAAAGCTTAGACAATCTAGGTGGGCTACACAGACATTTAGAATACACATACGATTATTTCCTGGTAAGAGGCTAAAATAGAGTCATCAGAATGTAAGTCATAATCAACAGCAGGGAATTGTACCGGGCTTGTCAGCTATTGTACAGCAATCACACGGTCCCACAGAGAACAGAATCTATGTTGAAACTATCAGCAAGGTGTCACTGTGCAGATCATACTGAAAAGCTTCGTGAATTAAAATTCGCAACAACTTCTTCACTCCAGCTCCAGCTGTAACCGGCAACAGACACTCTGTTCTCCTGGAATCTTATAATGAGCTTGCAGATGTCTCCCCAGAATGTAAGTACCAGCACAAGAACACAGCTAATGTTTAAAACTACGGGCTACCTGAATTTACAGACTAGCTAAGAAAACAATTTACAGTGGGAAAGAGGTGGCAAAGTGAGACTTAAGTCACTACTTTTCCAGAAATATTTCTAGAAATTGTTATTTAACTAACCAGATATGGATTCTGCATAAAACACATTATTGACTTGAGGCCTGCAGACGAGAATCATTTTGTGTTTCACACGGTGTCTTGTTGGCTATTGCAGTCCGAGCATGAAAGGTGTGTGCGTGTGTGGGGGGCATCTATGGCTTTTGAAAAATGATATGATTACCCCAATGGCCTGCTAGGAATATAAATATGAGAAAGGATTGCAGGTACTAAGCTCAATATTTTAGCATCTCTTCCCTGTTTTAATGCCATTTATGGTTGATTAGAATGTAACATTTTGGCGATCTACATAAATTTTAAAAACCAAAAGAATTCTGAACTCTAGAAGAAAGGGTTTTTTTTGGGGGGGAGGGAGAGAATTGTCATTTAACTACTTCAAGGATTTATAAAAGTTAATCAAACACATCTCTCTCAAATTAATTCCTTTTTAAAAAATGCTATGAAATACTAACAGTAAACACTCAGAGGTTCAATCTGGCTGCTTAGTGTGAGGCACTTAAAACCAAATTTTGGAACTTGAGGCTATGATTAGGCTGCAGGCTTCTTTCGGAAGAAGCTTTTCCGGAAGAGATCTTCCAGAAAAACTTCTTTCAAAAGAGTGTATCCACACAGCAAAAGCACATCGAAAAAGCGATCTGCTTTTTTCGAAAGATAGTGTCCACATTGATTGGATGCTGTCTCACATTTGCATTGTGATTACTATGGATGGAGTGGCCACCAGAGCACCTGTGTTTTTTCCTGGAGACCTCTTCTTTTGGGGGAAAAAAAAAAAACCCTCTTCGCCATCCACACATGCCTTTTTCTGAAAGAGCTTCAGAAAAAGGCTTCTTCCTCGTAGAAAGAGGTTTATCACTTTCAGAAAAGCACCTCTATTCTTTTGACTTTCTATTGAAAAAAATGCCATTGCAGTGTGGACCTAAGTGTAGATTTTCTGGAAAAATGGCCATTTTTCCAAAAAAAATCTGCAGTATAGACATACCCTAATTCATAGCAGACTTCAAAGGTCCTGAGCAGCCCATCAAAATCATTGTGAGCTGCAGATGCTTGGCACTTTTGGAAAACAGACCTTTTCCGTTCAGGTGACCACTAATGGATTTGGGCATTTAGCTTATATAACAGAGCGTCAGTTTAATTCTTGCACCCCTACCCCCCCCCACCACAAATCCAAAGCCAACCCATGCCAATAAGAAGCATGTGTGAGTGTGTATTGTCACCAGGAAGGAGGATGTTGCTGTATATTTAGGTATGCGATAATGAGCACTGTGGCAACTTGTGCTCTTGAAATCCTCTCTCTCACAATGAAGTTAGGTTGATCTGTGATCCGGTCAGCACAGCGGTAGGCATTTCCATTCATTTTTTACTACTTGTTTAGAGAGGAGCTAGTGAGCCAGACAACAGATTCAGATATTGCTCTGAAGTCCAGCCTTGCTCGAAGAGCAGAGGTTAAAGAAAGCAGATTGTGAGCACCAGCTGACATTTACAAAGCACACAACAAAGGAGTCAGCACACTCACCAGGAGAGCCCATACATTTCTGTTCTCTCCCAGTGTTTCTGGAAGAAGCACTGTAGGTGGCAAGAAGCAGATGATCATACCGAATTGCACTTCTTTGCAGCAGACTTTTTTCTCCGGCAGTGCTCTCAGTAATCAGGAGTGTTCACAAAAGGAGACAACTGTGGCTAGTGAGTGACATGCTTTTTTTCGTCCTGAAACATGCCAATCACCTGCAGACTAGTGAGAAAGACAAGGGAAGCTGCATCTTAAAAATAATGGAAAACTATTGACAAGGAAATTTAGAGAAAGGCTCGGCCAACATGCATATTTTTCACAGACACCACTCAAACTGTGGTCAAGCACCTAACTCTGTGCCCCATTTTACTCATAAGAAGACAAAAATCTGGAACGAGACACAAAGCTTTTATATGAGTTGTGTTTAAGTTGGAGATAGAATCAATAGATTGACTGCATTCATTTTCCAGATCTTTAACATTATTTGCTTGTAGGCCTTGCTTTCCAACTCAGCGCAGATAGGAATTTTGGCTTCCATACTTTTCCTCCTTATTTGCTGGCTCATACGAGACAGTCTTATTGTGAAAGACCTGAATGGAAAGCATGTCTTCATAACTGGATGTGACAGTGGGTTTGGGAACTTGCTGGCTAAACAACTTGACCGAAGAGGATTCCACGTCATTGCTGCATGTCTGACAGAAAAGGGAAGCCAAGAACTCCTGGCCTGCACATCCCTCTCACTGAAAACTGTGATACTGAACTTAACTGACTCCAGCAGCATTGATAATGCAGTGGAGTTTGTGAGACAAGAGACAGATGGCGAAAGTAAGTAGAATAGCCGGCAGTCCATACAAACATTAAATATATCCAAGTATAAAGCAGAACAGTTCTGATAGTAACCTTACATAATAACCGTGCAAGATCATTTCTTATGCTGATTACAGCTGTATTTGCTTCAGTGCTATGAGTCTATCTAATTAGGTATTGATTAGCACCAAACCCTATGGTTTCAAAAGTGTGTTATGTTCCAAAAGCCAGTTTCAACTGTTGTGTTTGCCTCTAGCATTTATTAGTCAGGGACATCTAAATATAAAATTTCTTTGCTATTTTATAAATCAGAAAATATACTTGTATATGTTTTTAAATCTCACTCAGCTGCAGATAAAGAACTCAGCGTATGGAAGTGCTAATCAGAACTTCGTTGGCCTACCTAAGCAATCAATCACCCTAGTCAATTAAAAATGCCTGGCAGAGTTCACACTCTCCTTTTAGGAAAGCAAAGGGTTGTTGTTTTCTCTGTCAGCAAGTCTGATGTTTGTTATGCACACATAATGATGGTACTAACTCTAGCAATCAAATAGGAGCATTGTCCAAATTCCATTTGCAACGTCACTACAGTGTTTTGTACCACAAAGTGCTATAGCTGTGAGTGTAATAATGTGAAAGAGGGAAGAAAATGTGTCTCTGAATACTCAAGAACAGAAAGTTTAGATCATTCCTTGGCTTCTGCTTTTGGCAGAAAATGTTAAAAAGTCTGTCTTGGTTCCTAATCAATGAATTTTTCTGCTATGGCAAGACATCCATTCCTGTCTTAACTTCACATTGGCACAAGGAATAAGACACTGAGCACAAACTAGTTATTGTGAGTAGGCCACGGAGGAACAAAACAACTTTTTTTGGCTGAAGAAAGTATATAGTTGTAACTGGTACCTCAAAGCTGGTAAAGGTGATCAATGAGATCCAACAGCAAAGCAAAACATTTTTACTCATAACGCTTTTCTCATGTTTAAATAATCAGTTGATAATTTCAGTTGTTTCTAAGGGTAAAAATTAATTAAATCACAGTCTTGTTCTTTTGTGGACTGTGTTACCTTCAGTGGCGGGACTAGGAAAAAAATAACCACAATGCCTCCTCTCCAGGGACTTTGCTGAACTGTGGTCTTAGTCTAGCCTACATGGGGCAGGCAACACTCACTGTAACCCTCACTCTAGCCATGTAAGCAAAGATGCCAAGCATTAAATTAGCAGGGTGTCTACACTATTCTCTTTCTCTAAAAGCAGCCCATCCTGAGCTGGGTGCTGTAGGCACTTTAATCACATGGCACTAATACATTCATACATCAATCCCAAAGCACCTGACAAAGGTGGAGAAGCACTATGATCGCTGTTTCCCAGATGGGGTAACCGGGGCACAGAAAGCGCCAGGATCACTTAGTGTATGTCTGCACGGCAGAGGAGAGCAAGGCACCAAGTCCCAGTAGGCAAACTCACGACAGCGAGGCTCCCTCTCACATACAAAAACAGCTGTGGGCATGTTGCAGCACCGGTGGCATGGGCTAGCTCTGCCAGTGAAGCACTGTCACTAAGGGCATGTCTACATAGCAGGGCTAAAGCTGAAATAAGCTATGCTAACGTGAGCTACATCTGTTGCGTAGCTTAAGTGGAAATAGCTTATTTCGGCTTTTGCGCTGTCTACACAGTAGGAAGTCCGAGTTGGAGCACTCTTCTTCCGACGTCCTTTACTCCTTGCAAATTGAGGATGGTAGGAGTCAGAGTAAGAAGGCCTCCAGCTCGCCATAATTTTGACCTAATGTGTGCTTGCTGTGTAGTCGCAGACTATGATATTTTGGAATAACATAAGCTATTCCACAATAACCCTGCTGTGTAGACACAGCCATAGCTATTTTTAGCAAGTTCCACTAGCAGTAGTCTGTCTCCCCAGGCTGGAAGGTTCAGGCTCACCTGCAGGGTACATATGCCCTTTTGATATAGTACTGAGACCTGGGCGGTAACTGCACCAATGTAAATCATATCTCCATTAATATTTTACCTAGTTCTAATCCAGAACCATTGACTTAGGTATTAGGAAGGTGAAAGTTTGCCATTTGTACAGTGTAAATTCAAATAGTCATAAAGAAACCCAGCCAGATACTCATCTTGTTAAACTGTGTGCAAAATGTGAATGCTCTCAGTCTATTGCTATGTCATGTCTCCAACCCGCTCACTGCTGTAATACTGGCACTTACTGTTTTTGTAATAATCTCAGGCCTCTTTGGCTTGGTAAATAATGCTGGAACAGCAACACCAATGGCACCCACCGACTGGCTGCAGATTGACGATTTCCATGCAATTCTGGATGTTAACCTGGTGGGGTTGATTGAAATCACCCTGAAGCTCCTGCCGCTTTTGAAAAGGGCTAATGGAAGAGTGGTCAATGTTGCCAGTGTTATGGGACGATTGGCATTTTTAGGTGGTGGCTACTGCTTGTCCAAGTGGGGCGTGGAAGCTTTCTCAGACATCTTACGGTGAGTGTCTAGAGATGGATTTGTGGCTCTCATCTTGAATTTCAGATGCTCTAAGTTTGCAGCTGTTTGAATCTGAGGCTGCAGTTTAGTTCATAGAAGGTTAGAGACCAGCTGAGAAAAACCAGCAGAGTGAACATCTCAGATGTCTTACTGTATATAAGGCTGCCTTCAACAGCTGGCACCCTCTTGTGGCTGTGTGGGTACTACCCTGAGTTTGGTTCAGTTTCTCCCCTTCACATAGTCAATATGGATTTCTTGTTATGATCCCAGCCATGCCCTTATTAGTCTCTAGCCTTTATGGGGTAATAAAGTGCCAGTAGTGCTGAGGGCCTAGTGAAGGGCAGACTGTTCTAGGCCCTGTTGGTTTAGGCTCGGTCCCATTGCAGTCAATGGTGCTATTCAAATTTACAGTCTCCTCTCCACAGGCAGGGAGAGTTGGTAAAATAGACGGGGAGCCACTGTGAACATTCTTATGAAGCAGAATATGCTCCAAGAGCCAAAGTTAGTGGCTGATGTTCAGGTGTGTTCAATTCCATTGCATAGTTTGGAATAGCACATGAACGAGTCAGCTCCCCAAAAGTCTCTGAAGCTGCTCCCATAGGGAGAAAGGGAATTTTCATGGTGAAGGAGCTGAACTGCAGTGCAAAATATATACTGTAAATGTCTGTTCCCTTTCCTGTTAATTAACAGCAAATGAATTAACCTTCAGCCCATGAACATTTGGCCAATGAAATCTACTGAGACTTGTACTCCTGTCATATACTTCTGCCTACCTGTGTTTTGTTTTCAGATTCCTTCAGGTTGTTAATGACAACACAAGAAGATTATAACAGAGCAGCTGTAATGGAAAATTTTTCTTTGTGTTGTACATCTTTGCATAGAGATGTACAGCGTTTCAGCTAGATGTGTGGTTCACATGAATTTGGGAGTTTCCTTGATCCTCGTGGTTTCTAAGCAAACTACACTGAGACGGCATTTAGAATATTTGCTGCTGCTGTTCTATTGTAGCTGTACTGTATATTCCTCTGTACGGTGGGTCTTTTTTGTGATAGGTTACAACAAAAAAACAATATGCCACATCATAAAGCCAATTTGCACTTTTTTGACATTTTTACATAATCAGAAAGAAATCAACATTCCACCTTAAGGTACACACCTTCCCTTTGGTTATTACATAGCCAAATATTTGAAAGGTCATGTAATTGTTTGGGTGAGCCAGGATGAAACCATTTGTTACTGGGTTTTATTTCTATTCCAGGAGGGACATGCAGCATTTTGGAGTGAAGGTGAGCATAATTGAGCCAGGATGCTTTCAGACTGGAATAACTAGTTCTGAGGCCATTGAGAGAGACCTGCTAAGACTTTGGAATCAATTAACTCCTGAGGTCAGAGAATCCTATGGCGATCAATACTTTGTTGAGTGTAAGTACGAATACTTAACATCACTGGACTGGAATATATTTAGTGGATTTGGCTACCCTTAGTCACAGGCTGACCGTTATCTCCTTTGACATATCTTCTTTGAACTTTCCTGTTCAAGTGAAGGGCCTAGTCTCTTGGGTCATATCTACACTGCAGTGTTATTTTGGAATAACTGACGTTATTCTGAAATAACATAGTGCACGTCTACACAGCCAACCTTTATTTTGAAATAATGTCAAGCTGGAGGACTTCTTACTCTGACTCCTGCAATCCCTCATTCCACAAGGAGTAAGGGAAGTCGAAGGAAGAGTGTCTCCACAATTCTGATCAACAGAATTGCTCCATGAGGTGAACAAATTAGTTAGCCTTGGCTTTTCTCACCAATTACAACCAAGTATTCCTTGAGACTAGGGGGTTGTCACACATCTTTGCTTTGCAGGACATGCCTCACTCATTGAGGAAGTTCATCACAATGTTAAACAGTCAATATACTTCCCAATGCTTTATAGAATAGCTTTTTTTCATAGGATTTAGGATTTTCATAGGATTTAGGACATAGGATTTCCTCTTCTGCTGCAAGATTTCCTGTTCTTTTGCAGATTAGTTTTGAGTTATTCTTACAGAGTACAAGAATATTTACAGACAATTAGAGGGCCTGAGAAAGTTTGATGGAAGAAAGTTGAGTTTACTGATTAAATATAGTTAATTCAGGCTACAAAAGGCAGGGAGATAAACAGCAAAATTTGGGAACATATGTACAATGTACAAAGCCTGTAGTTTCATAGATTATTTATGAACATTTACTGAACATTTGTTTCTGAGCAGTAAACAAGCAACTATTACTAGCATAAAATAGAGCTATTTCTAAAGCTTTACAATACAGTTAACAGTAGCATTGGAGTGTGGAGAGTTCTATAGCTCTTCTTTTTCTTTACATCGTTTTAGCTGTCAACCATTCTAAAATATTTTAGAGAATGTTTCATAAGCATTCAAGGGTTTATTTTCTTCCTTGCAGATGTAAAAGCTCAAAGATTGTCAATGAAAAGATTGTGCGACTCTGATATTTCTAAAGTCACAAACTGCATGGAGCATGCCCTGATAGCAAAATACCCCAGGACACGCTATGGGCCTGGATGGGATGCAAAGTTCTTTTGGCTGCCCCTCTCCTATGCACCAACTCTTCTCTCTGATACGATGCTGAGTATGCTGCTTCCAACTCCAGCAGCCAGTAGAAAATCAGTATCCAGAGTTCCACTTGTTTAATATTTAGTACCACCAAAGTGGTGACTGGCTGATTTTGAAAAGAATTCTTCTCTCTTCCCTAAAGCACTTTGATTTTATTGAATTTCAGTCTGAAAAGAATGTTTTACTATGCTCTATTCCTCAGAGATATATTTCAAAATAACATTCTCCTCCAGAGCTGGTCAAATAGTATTTGCCAGACAAAAAGTTTGATGACTTTGGGCTTTTTATATCTTGAATCAGTTCTGTTATATGCAAATCTATTCTGCTCTTAAAGCTGGACCAAATACCAGCCTATGAATTATAACATGCTGTTATGCAAAGTGCAGCATTGTTAATCCATGTATTCCAGGGGGATCGCTCTATAAGGACGCATTTACTCAAGAACTGATACAGCTATTCTTGCTGAATATGGGTATTTGACTGAATCATGCACACCAGCTGCTGAACTTCACAAAGCTGTGAATTCTAAGGACTTAAACTTGATCCAATTAAAGTAAACCCCTAGCATTTGAAAAATATCCATGACATTTCTCTCCAGTGCTCAACCACATCTATCTTCCTATTTACCATTCAATAAGTCAGCTACTATAATGGAGATGATGCAGAGGTTATTTCAACAATATGTGATACAAGTCATGAGAAATCACAGCCAACTGGTATCTATTACTACAATATTTATACATTAACTTTATTCCGTACAACTTTATTATCTGAAAAATAATATATATGTACATGATGCCTTTTATCCTAGAGATCCCTCGGGGGTTTACATTTCACTCTGAGGTGAAGCAGGTCATTTTGTTTACGCTCTTGTTGATTAATAATACTATATTCAATGCACTCAGCACTGTAAAATGCCACTTGAGATTACAAAGCCTCTTGCAATATAATATAATATAATATGAAGCACACTAAAGTTTATTCCCTAATAAACCGCTGGTCATTGGCTAATATGATGGTGTGCATGGTGGTTAGAAAACTGATAGGGTAAAGGTTTTGTTTACTAGAGATTTGAGTTGCTGATTAATGATTAATATCCAGGTCAATTAAGTTAACAAAAATATCACAGCAAGTCATAACTTAGATGAATATGACCTTGTGAAAAAAACAACCAGATTGTAATTAATGGTCCAAATATAACACATCAAAATCCATAAACTTGCATAAAAACTAATCACTATAAAAGGCTGGTGAAAACAAAGGAACTTTGGGTTTGTCTAGCAACAACAACAAAGCCCAGATTCTCTCTCATGTTCAGTTTGGCTGCCCACTAGACTGACTTCAGCCATAATAAGGACTAGTAATTAAAACACCAGCTGGTGTGTGTGTGTGTGTGTGTGTGTGTGTGTGCGTGCACGCGCATATGCTGCTATTTACTCTGTATTTTTGGCATATTGCCTTGTCTCCTAAAAAAAATATCCTGTGTGTGTTTTAGAAGCCTAACATACTGAGCTGCATGTTAAGGCTTGGGAAGATCCTCTTTGGAGTAGTCCCTTCTTTGGTAGTTCCAAAATTCTGGTCCGAAAGATTCCATGGAACTACCATGAAAAGGTTTACAAATCTGAAGTCAGATCCTCAGCTAGTATTCACTACTATAGCTCAGCTGAACTCAATGGAGCTACACCAATATATACCAGCTCCAAATCTGGCTCTTGATTTTTTCAGAATGAGGGATATTCTGTACATTCTTATACATGTTTATTTGTAAAATGCAATTTATTGTACAACTTTTGTTAAAAAGATACTGTTCATAACTTTCCAGGATGTAACAATTGCTATGTACTATAGTATATTGCATTATTTTTTAAATGGTGAATAAAACGTCTCATAGAAAAGTTGTAAAAATAATGATTTACAATATTCCAGGCCAATTTTTGGGGTGACAGGCACTCATGCAACAAAGTTAAAATTGCAAGCAACTCATGCATGAATGGAATTCATCTTCTGAAACACATTTATGTGCACATCTGCACCATCGTTAAAATCAGTTCATGATCAGGACCACACGGGTTTCATGAATTGATGGATACAAAGTAAATATAGGGTTTGGCTTGAGCAAAAATGGATGTGTTTCTTCAAAGCAAAACTCTTAACTAAGCTGCCTTTCAAAACCAACACAAAAACTGTGCCAATTATACTAGTAATATTATTCCCGCTGTCGGAGGACTAAAGCAGGTGCAGCAAGCCCTATTTTCTCTTGGAACATAGACACCAGAAAGAGCCATGTCACTCAGATAAACCATCAGTTGTCACACTGTTATTCTTTGGCCAGATGTTGAGCTTGCACAACCACAACAAAAGGAACATTAGAATAATGCTTGGCTTAAGCAGTAAGACACTCCACAAGGATGCTGGGAGACAAAATATTACTATTGCAGACATTTGTTTCAACTGGAGGCATCCAATGTATTTAACAGGTGGAATTTAACACTGTCATAACAAACATGTGATGGCCTGAGAGCCTATTTTTGTGCATGAGAATTTCAAGTATCCTATTACTCTTATACACCGACATTAACCAAAATAGTGACAGACATTCATCCTCATCAGAACAGAGATCATTACTGCACAATAGGAACTCATGAAGAATATTAAGTGTTAGCAGCATGAAAATCTAGGCATTAACTGGCGTGCATTTTATCCAAGCAGTTCTACAGTTACTAATATCGTGCACTTTGGAGCACACAAATCAGAATGTGGCCTTCTATGATTAACTGGGATTGGAGAGCTATGCAGTCAGAGCTCAGGCCTGGGAACCAGACACTTTCCACCTCTAATCCCAGTATTGACTCTGACTCCTCCTATGGCCTCCAACAAGTCAGTCTCCTTGCCCCATTTTCACAGCCTGTAACTGTGAATAACAGTTTCCTACTTTAGAAGGATGTTGTGAGTATTAATGTTAATGGGAATTATTTTCATCTGATGCTTTACCAAGGTATAACTGATTTCAATAGAGCTCTGATTTACCCATCACTGTGTAACAAGGCTCAAATGTTTGGAAAGTACAAAGTATTTTTATTAGTGTCCTTTAAAGCACTACTTTTTTCAGGACTGCACTGAAAGCTCCAGATTATGACAGATTTGTATGGCGCATTAGACTGAATAATCTATGGATTAAGAATATGATAAAATAACACATTTATTAGATTTATTCAGCAGCATCATTTCCAGTTATCTTTTCTAATCAAAACACATTTCCAAGTCATTACAACAAGCATTCTAAATAGGGATAGCATATATTTTGAGAACTCAGGTATAAAACAATCAACAGCAGAAGTCTCATTGATTATAAATTTAGGAGTCTGCAGTTATTTGAATAATTAGCCAGGAATGCTAAATTACATATTAAAGTACACATTCCTGCAGTGGTGCTTAGACTTTTCTTAAACAGTTCATGTTATGGAAACTAAACTGGCTACTTGATAGAAAAGCTAGCAACATGTTCAGTATATTCTAATGGAATGTTACGGAAATAACCAAAGACCTACAAAGATTGCATCAGCAGAAACTGTTTCCCTTTCTAATAATGTCCACCTCAGGAAATAAATAGTCAATAAAAATTAAATTTTCCACATGAAAAAGCTGGCTCAAATTTTAATTAACCAGCATCTTTTGTACTTTGCTAGCTACTTCATTTAACAAACAGTACGAGCGGCTTCCAGAGACTCCAGCCAAGAACAGTTATTCCATTGATGATCAGGAAAAATCTCATTAATTAAGGATGAAATTACTGTATGGCACTAAAATTTAAATATATCAAATCTTCCTATGAATGTTGTTAAAAGGATTTTTTTTTACTGGAACCTAGAAGGAAAGTATATGTATTATGGATCTGGGGAGGAATTATTTAATGTCAACAGACAAAACATTGCAAAAACAACATTCTGTGCAGGTAGCCAATACACTGTGCTGAATTTCCATCTTTTCTTTAATCTGAGATATACAGAAAGAGTGAGAGAGAGAGAGAGAAGACAGATAGTCCCATTTTTACAGTAGTGTATTAAATGGGTAGTAGGGATGCACAAAACACCAGTACATGTTTAAGAAGGTGCTGTTATAAATATATGCTCCAAAAATTTCTGTAAATCAGTAAAGCTCTATATTTACCTTGATTTTTAGTTAAATCATTTATATAAAGGATTTATCCCTAAAGATGTAACAACCAATTCAGTACCAATTTCTTTTAGCTACATCAACAAACAAGATAATCTTTCAAAAATTTACAAATGTACAATATATTTATAACATTACTTTCAGAGAGCTTCAGTGCAAAGATATACATATAGTACATCATGATAATTGTTCATAAAAAATAGGAGTTGGCATTTGTCAAAAAAACAAGGCATAGCTTCAACAGACATCTCCAGCTATTAGCTAAAAGGTGTATATATTTTTTATAAAGCATTTGAATGTGAACCTTTTTCCTTCTGTTTATAAAAAATATATGTGCAAATGGGTAAATCTAATTATTCCATAACAGATTAACTAGTTATACAACAGAGTCCTCTTTAACAAGACTGGCGGTATCTTTAAATGTATCCTCTGTTGCTGTATAAGCTAAAGATGGGTCTCTCTTGAGAGTAATCTTAGGAGGCAGTGAAGGAGAGGGAGGTGAGGCATTTTTAGTGTCCTCTTGTTGTTCTTTCTCCATCTGAAACAATCACCATGAAAAAACTGGTTTAACATTTAACTGTTCAGTATAGGTTTGATTTCAGAAGTGCTAAGCACCCATAGCTCTGGTTGAAGTCAATGAGGTACACAGATACTCAGCCCCCCTGGCCACCAGCCCATATATCATTATTTAAACACCAATTTCACCTCAGCAGGCAAAGCTGAGATAATGAATTAGGACACTAGTAAGGGCTGATCCTGCCAACAATTACTCCCGCCCATGGTGCTTAACAATGAGTAATTTTATATGTATATACTCACACACTACTGTAGATAACTACTGAGCTCACTAGCCCTAAGCAAGCTTATCTCAACAGTATTTGTAAGGCCAGGCCCTTCACTCTATCATCTCTCACTCCCAGTATGGGGCAAATAGGATAAAACTTTCAAAAGCACCTACATGACTTTGAGCACAAGTCACATTATCCTCAGAGACTGAGGAGAAGTTACTTTCAATGATACTTAAGCTCCTACATAACTGATTCACTATGAAAATAGGACTTCGACTCCTAAGTCACTTAGGAACATTTTAAAAAAAGTATTCCTAGTATGAGCCTGTAGCCCCAGGAACCACGTACGTTTTGGGGGGGGGGTAGGGCGTAACTGGCTTTAAAACCACCTCAGTCCCTTCTCCCTGTGCTGCATGTTCTGTGCTGTGTGCCTCTTACTGATGCAACACAGATTCTTATCCATATTAACAAATTTTAATTTATGCTTCCCATATCACAAGAACCAGCCCCATTTGTGAGCTAGGTGAAAGGTGGAGAATGAGTGAAATGTAATTAAAAAACAACAAATAGTCTGATAGCACTTTAAAGACTATCAAAACATGTAGATGGTATCATGGCTTTTGTGGGCACAGCCCACTTCTTCAGATAACCAGATGACCATTATTTTATGATGATTATATTCTTGGTTCTGGACATCCAACACTCCGGTCATCTGAAGAAGTGGGCTGCGCCTATGAAAGCTCATGATACCATCTACATGTTTTGTTAGTCTTTAAAGTGCTACCAGATTATTTGTTGTTATTTTAAGTTTTTCCTTTTACAGACTAACTTGGCTACCGCTCTGAAGCTTTTGAGATATAATCGTTACCTCTGCATAAATTGGATTTTCAAAATTAGTACTTCGTTTCAGTTTTCTTTTGAAGAAATTCCACTTTGTTTCCTAAAAGATAAAGACAACAAAACATTACTAATATAAGCTCTTTAACTAAACAATTTTGTCCCGTTTCATTTGTAAAATGATAATGCCATTGTCGGGAGGGTTTTCAATAGCATTTCCTATTGGGTATATCTCTGAGTGAGTTTAGTCAGGAGATATATTTCTTCCTCATGTTTTATTTGTTTTTTTTTTAATTCAGCTCTTTTCATTTAATTTCGCACAAGAACCGTTCTTCCTCAAGAAAAGTTTTGAGCAAAAAGGAGCCATCTACACAGCTCTTTTGTGCCCAAAAACCTCTTACACAAAAGGGATCCAAAGAGGAAATGCAAATGAGAGCATGGCATATGCAAATGAGCACTCTGTTTGCATTTTCTCTTGTGGAAGAGGCTTGTAGTATAGACATAGCCTTATTTATTCTTGGTTCTGAACTTCCAACACTCCAGTCACTTGAAGAAGAGGGCTGTACCCACAAAAGCTCATGATACCATCTACATGTTTTGTTAGTCTATAAAGTGCTACTAGACTATTTGGGTTTTTTTTAAGTTTTTCCTCTTACAGACTAACTCTCTGAAATTTTCATACTGTCAGCCAATCAGATTTCAATTACTTCAGATCAAAGTAAAGTGTTACTGTCTATGAAAAGCTAAGCTATATTTCAGTAGGAATTTGTTTGTTAAATGTATGAATGTTTGCTATGAAATATCCATTATCTTGTGACTGTGGGGAGGAAAACCCTCAGCTGGAGTAAGTGGTCAAAATTCTACTTTAGCCAACAGAGCTATGACAATTTACACAAGGTCAGGATCTCCCTTTGCACACTGTAACTTTCATGCTGAGAAGCCCCTGAAAAGAGAGGCTTGTCATAGAAACTCTGGTAAGGCTCTTCAATGTAGTGGTACAAATACTGTCATTCAAATGCACTTTCAACACCACAAGCATAGCAAGTGCTGGAGAGAAAAAGAGAGAACTCTGCAAAACCACCTGAGGCTGAAACAGACTTAGCAGGAAATCAAACTTGACCAGTTTTAGCACCTGGTTCTTACAACTGTCAAGTATACTCCATATTCAGAAGTTTTGACACCTCTGCTGCAGACACAGGGGAAAGGGGGATTATGGGCCATGTCCTTTGCATAAAAGACACTTTCCGTGAGGTGCCAAATGCCCTCAACTCCTCTTGGAGGGCTTGTGTAAATGGCTGTAAATCAGATTAAAAGGGATGGATGAGTGTCTATCCACAATCATGTTGGTTTAACTGTAGCCTGAACCTGAATATCTAAACCATAATTGAGCATCCCTTTATGTTTGTTCACCCCATATTTGTTCATTTTTTTAATTGTATCCTTTGGTATATATGGTTGTGACTACTTTCTTCCACTATTTGATCTGAGGAAGTGGGTCTGGCCCACGAAAGCTCATCATCTAATAAACCATCTTGTTAGTCTTTAAAGTGCTACATTGTCCTGCATTTTCCTTTATGTCCCATGAGCCTAAGTTAGTTGACATGGACTAGCTGCAAGTTTTCAACTGCAGTGTAGACATACTCTAGAGCATTTAATCCCCAAGGCAGTGCTGTTTTGGAACTGTTCCTGGGTAGAGCAGTTGCATAGCACAGTATCTACACTTCATGAGGAAATAAACTGCACTGTCAATAGACTAACATGAAGCTGATCACTGAGGTGGACAAGGGAAAAGAACTCAAAATCCTTGGAGAGGAAGTTGAAGAAGAGCTTGCATATTGGAATAACAACAGTAGAGAAGATGAAATGCATCCTTGTTATTGTCATATAAAGTCTGATTAGTTGGACTTTCTGCAGTCAGATGTGTCAATTTAACTCTTGGTCATTATTTTACACAAAGTGAAAATTTTATTGCACATCTTCCCCATGTTAAGTGTGAGAGTTCTGATTTCCTAACACTGATCACAAATAAAACAGTGCTATGGGTTTAGAGCACTGAAGGGTTTTCAAAGACTAAGAACAATACAGCAATGACTTAACATTGTTCTAATTTTTTAAAAGTTACACTGTGTTACCTGTGTCATTTCTGTACTTGCAGGAGGTTGCTGTGCTCTAGCAGATATTGCATCAGAGTACACAGGATTTTCAAAATTCTCACTTTCTCCGCTATTAGATGCTGTAACCTGTTTGCAGAAATTGTTTTAATGGGTTACACAGATCCTAGTAATGATGAGGAAAAGTTAGAACACAAACAAGAACTGATATAATAATGAAAAAAGAAACTGAAAAAAGAAACAGTGCATAGAAAAGGAACAAGACTTTAAGGAGAACGAAATAAGAAAAGCAACATTCAATTTCTTTCTTACACATGAGGGCTGAGATATATTCACTACACTGGCTCCACTTTCTCTGGTTGCATACATTGGATTTTCAAAAGTGATTGGCTGCTTCCCTGACTCCACTGCAAAGTTTTCATTCTGTGAAAAAAAAAACTTCAATATAATATACAGATAACATAGCCAGCATTTTATAATCTAATCCCTTAGCTCAAGGAGAAATATTTTTATATTTTTGTAAAGTTTTCCATATATTTTGTAAAGTTATATATGAAACTCAATGTGTAACTTTACCATGCATTATTCCAGTCAATGATTCGTTAATTGTCTATAAGATCACCACTGTGTACAAACGTTCAAAACATGAACACATAATAATGACTCGCAGTCCATTTCAGAGCTAGGCAAAAAGTAAACATTTAAATAATTTACTCAAAATGTGTTAAAAAGAGGAAGAAGAAGCTACTCGCCTTCGTGCAGTAATGATGGTTCTTCGAGATGGGTCCCCATGGGTGCTCCACTTATAGTGTCGAACTCGTCCCAGCGCCACTGCTTGGAGGCTTTGCATAGCTGTTTTCAGCCGGGTCGTGCCTGCGCGGTGTGCAGCACATGCCGTTTGTGCTCTTTGATCTTCGCGTGCTCTGGCTTACCTGTCAGTTCCTCTCACCGTTCCGCATCTGTAAGGATACAAAAGAAAACAACTCCAGAACAGGGAGGAAGGGTGAGACGTGGAGCACCCACAGGGACCCATCTCGAAGAACCATCGTTACTGCACAAAGGTGAGTAACTTCTTCTTCTTCGAATGCTCCCTGTGGGTGCTCCACTCATGATGACTTCGTAGCAGTACTCGCGTTGCGTTCCCGGAGTTTGGGCCTGTCAATGACTGAAAGTACTGCTGAGGTCACTGAAGACTCGAGCATCCACCACTGCACTATTGCGTAGTAATTCATAAAGGTCAGACTTGAGGACCGTGTGGCTGCCCTGCAGATTTCTGGCAGTGAGACTCCTCTAACAAACGCCGTAGATGTTGCCACTGCCCTGGTGGAGTGTACCCTAGGTATAGTCTGAAGGGGCTTGTTGCGCATCGAGTGACACATGGTGATGCAAGAGACTATGATGTTGGACAGACACTGGGAAGACAATGGATTGCCCTGGGAGTGGTCCGCAATGGATACTATTAGGCAGTCGGTCTTGCGCCAGGTCCACGTTTTATCTATATAGAATGCAAAAGCTCGACGTATGTTGAGGGTATGAAGTAGCGAGTCAAGGCATGCGGCTTCGGGTAAAATGATGGGATCATTGATATAAAACTGTGTTGCAACCTTAGGGATAAAGGCTGGATGGGTACATAATGTGACTGAGTCTTTGGTGAAAATCATGAAGGGTGGTGTTGCCATTAATGCTGCCAGTTTGCTCACCCTACAGGAGGATGTAATTGCCAATAAGAATACCACTTTTGTGTTGAGCATTGATAATGATGTGGTGGCTAGTGGCTCAAAGGGTGGATACATTAATGTGTCAATGACCAAATCCAAGCTCGAAGCAGGGGAGGAGGGTCTTAGTGGGGGTTTGAGGTTAGCTATTCCATTAAGCAGTCTCTTGGTCATGGGATGAGCAAAGATAAGACTGGCCGTCTATGGTAGTATGGAAGGCAGTGATTGCTGAGAGATGAACTCTTGGTGTAGAGACTGAAAGATCTGTGTGGTGTAGGGGATATAATCTAGGATTTCATGCATTGGTGCCGCGTGTGGCTGGATGCCAATTTTCCCACACCAAGCCACAATCTCCTCCATTTTGCCAGGTAAGCCCTTCTTGTAGTTTGTCTTCTACTGTTCAACAGTACTCTCTTCATTGCGTCTAAACAAAGTTGCTTTTCTATTCTGAACCAGCTATTAGCCACGCTGTCAGGTGGAAGGTCTCTGGTCTGGGGTGTAGAAGAGATCCCTGGTTCTGGGAGAGGAGGTCTGGGAGGAGTGGTAAGGGATGTGGTGGTAATAGAGACATCCTGTGAAGGAATGGGTACTACGGTTCTTTTGCCCAAGCTGGTGCTAAGAGTATGACTCGGGCTGAGACTTCTCTGATTTTCTGTATTACACTTGGAATAAGTACCATTGGTGGGAACACATAGAGGAGAGGTGTTTCCCAATGGACTAACTGTGCATCTCCAAGTGAGCCTTTGCCCATGCCTCCCCTGGAGCAGTAAAGGTGACACTTCCTGTTCCCATAGGTCATGAAGAGGTCTATTTGTGGTGATCCCCAAGCCCAGAAGATGTCCAGGACATTGGGGCAGATTTCCCACTCATGCTCTTGAGGGAAAAATCTGCTGAGAGCATCCACCACGACGTAGGTCGTGCCTGGTAAGTAGAATGCTACCAGGGTGATGTGGTTTCTTACACACCAGTTCCCTAAGCGGACTGCCTGTGCGCAAAGTAATTGGGATCGAGCTCCTCCTTGTCAATTGACATAATACATAGTCGCCAGACTGTGTATTGAAGAAGTCAGGTGACGACCATGGTGTTGCTGTGGCGAAGAGTGCCTTGCTGATGGTGGATTGTTGTGTGACGGTTGTTGGTGCCCACGGTGATGGGAATGTGAACATGAGGAGTACGGAGACTTATGGCAGTGCTCATAATATTGATCCGATGGGTGAAGTGACGAACAGCTGGATGATCTACCACTGGTATATTGCCTTTAGTGACTGACACACAGAGAATAGTGATAGCGTGGTGACCGTCTATATGGTGGAGAGTAGGATCGGTGCCTGTAACAGTCACTGTAACGTGGGTGCCCATATGGGGAATACCGTCTGTGATAGAATTGGTGCCTTGGGCTGTGGTGACGGTAGGTATGGTGCAGAGGTGAGGCATACACTGGAGAAGGAGAAGGATCTGGTGAAAATCTTGGAGAAGGGGAGTCCCCTGTGCCCATGTTTTTACTGGTGCGTTTGCTAGAGGCTCTGCATGAGTCATCGTCGGCTCCAGCTCCTGCTCCGGTGCCGGTGTTTCAGTCAGCTGCGGCACCGCTGTATTTGCTGGTGCCGGGGCTCCCTGCGAGTTGGGAGTAGCACGTGGTGCAGGCACCGGTGCTTGTTGTGCTGCCGGTGCTGGAAGATTTCTCTCCGGTGCCACTGCTGCCCGCACAGGTATCTCCTGCTCCGGTGCTGCTTGCAGTGTTAAACGGTGTGGTGCCAGCGTCTTTGTAGTATGGGTGCCGCTTGTCAGCACTGAGGCTACTTTCGGTGCCGAATAGGATCTGTCGGACACCACAGCCTTCCTCACTTTAGTCCCCAGCCCAGATGCTGAGGGTCGCAGGACAGAGCAAGAGGGTCCTGGTTTATCTCCCCCCGTTCTCTCAGGTGGGAGTGATTTGGCAGGGGAGATCTTTTTTCTTTTTTCTGACAGCAGTTCAAGAGAAGGAATTCTCTTTTTCTGGGTTCCCCCAAGCTGTTCAGCATTCACAACATTGGGGTTCAGCACCTTGTCCAGGAGAAGCATTTTCATAGAATCATAAAATACTAGGACTGGAAGGGACCTCGAGATGTCATTGAGTCAAGTCCCCTAACCTTCACCGCAGGACCAAATACTGTCTAGACCATCCCTGATAGACATTTATCTAACCTACTCTTAAATATCTCCAGAGATGGAGATTCCACAACTTCCCTGGGCAATTTATTCCAGTGTTTGACTACCCTGACAGTTAGGAACTTTTTCCTAATGTCCAACCTAAACATCCCTTGCTGCAGTTTAAGACCATTGCTTCTCATTCTATCCTCAGAGGCAAAGATGAATAAGTTTTCCCCCTCCTCCTTATGACCCTTTTAGATACCTGAAAACGGCTATCATGTCCCCCCTCAATCTTCTCTTTTCTAAACTAAACAAACCCAATTCTTTTAGCCTTCCTTCATAGGTCATGTTCTCTAGACTTTTAATCATTCTTGTTGCTCTTCTCTGGACCCTCTCCAATTTCTCCACATCTTTCTTGAAATGCGGTGCCCAGAACTTGACACAATATTCCAACTGAGGCCTAACCAGCATAGAGTAGAGCGGAAGAATGACTTATTGTGTCTTGCTCACAACACACCTGTTAATGCATCCCAGAATCATGTTTGCTTTTTTTGCAACAGAAGCAAACTGCTGACTCATATTCAGCTTGTGGTCCACTATAACCCCTAGATCCATTTCTGCCGTACTCCTTCCTAGACAGTCGCTTCCCATTATGTATGTGTGAAACTGATTGTTCCTTCCTAAGTGGAGCACTTTACATTTGTCTTTATTAAACTTCATCCTGTTTACTTCAGACCATTTCTCCAATTTGTCCAGATCATTTTCAATTATGACCCTATCCTCCAGAGCAGTCGCAACCCCTCCCATCTTGGTATCATCTGCAAACTTAAAAATCATATTTTCTATGCCAATATCTAAATCGTTGATGAAGATATTGAACAGAGCCGGTCCCAAAACAGACTTCTGTGGAACCCCACTTGTTATACCTTTCCAGCAGGATTGTGAACCATTAATAACTACTCTCTGAGCACGGTTATCCAGCCAGTTATGCACCCACCTTATAGTAGCCCCATCTA